GAGAGGAAGGGAGAGGGAGAAATAGAAACATCAATGATGAAAGAGAATCATTGATTGGCTGCCTTCTGCATTCCCCCCACTGGGGATTGAGCCCACAACCCTGGCACGTGCCCTTGACTGGGAATCAAACCGTAACCTCCTACTTCATAGGTCAAGGCTCAACCACTGAGCAACACTGGCTGAGCTTATCTCCAATATAAGTAAAATATAAGTAAAACAAAGCTTAGAGAGATTAAGTAAAGGTCATACAAAGTCACAGAGGTCATAAAGAGCAGAGTCTGAATTTAAGCCAAGACTGGTTGGGCTCCAAAATGGGTTTTCTTTCAATAAAGCAATGTGGCAAGTCCCTTATCATAAGCCCCTTATGATGGCTAAGGTCTTTTCCAGTTCTAATAATGGATAATTTCTAAAGAAACAAAGTTCCTCACTGCACATATTTCTCTTCTTGGGTTATCAGTCTCACTAGTGGCTGGGAGATACTTCAGTCTTCTCCGTTCTCTCCTCTTCTCCTGATGTGCACATGTGGACACAAGCTTTATACATAGTGACTCAAACGGCAACCTTTCTCTGAGCAGTAAGTAATACTGTTTCCATTTATTTTACTATTGGAATCTCTGCTGCAGAAAGCAGGAGGATTTAAAAAAAAATGACCAGTACAAATAAATGTTTTAGAGATGCTTGTGAAATGGGTGTTATGTGAATGTATTTGTACATAAAACCTAAATTTACACTACTTTTTCATTAGTTTAAGTTTTTAGTTTCTAGTTATTGGGTTACATACTTGTTGGAAAAGTAAATATTTACTTCAGTTCTGTATAATGCTGAGTTCACTCTTGCCATTAGTTTATTTTAATAGTTGTAATATGACCACTGAGTTTAACTCTGTAATTGGCAATGCACATTATCAGCCAGATGAACATTCGACATACAACATGATATGCACCACTGAATTATGGAAGGCATATGTAATAACAAACATTTGCATAGTGCTTTATTTAACAAGAGTCATTATAAGAATGAACTCACTTCACAGATGAAGTAACAAGGCACAGAGAGGTCAGTGACTTGTCCAAGTTCAAAATGCTAGTAAGTGGCACCTGGAAAATACTTTGAGAGTGCATGAATATTACAAGCTTTCTAACACTGGCATGGCGTGTTATCAACGATCAGAAATATGATCAAAGAACACTATACAGTCTTGAAGACGAGGAACAAATCCTTGGCTCCAGGAGCACCAAGTGCATCATGTATATGAGAATTCAAAGTCTGAGTTGGAAAAGAGTGACTAAAGGAAATTATAAGGAACCCGTGTGCAAGGGATATTGTAAAGCAGTGAAAAGAACACCGAACTGAGAGATGGCAGCCAGTGGAAGTTCATCTGTAAAACAGAGAGTTGGACTGGATGACTGGCAGGGACACTCTGTCCTTGCCCCGACAGATAATGTCCTCTGGCTCTGCCCTAGGAAGCTGGCTGGCTGCCTTTTGTCCAGGTGCTCCCTTGCCCTCTAACTTCTGCTTGGTTCTGTCAACGGGGAGGACCCATGGCAGAGACAGGAGGGGTGGGGGAAAGAAAGTTAAGGATTCCTCTTGAATCTCCCTGTAAGGTCCCAAAGGTTGTGGATCCTCTGAAGGCCTCTTGCTTTCTATGACTCGCCCCCTGCATGGGGCGGTGTTCTCCAGGCCTGCACCCAGGGGCACGCACTACTCCTGCAGTCCTCCATGCCTTGCTCACATCCGTGGTATCAGTACTCTTGCAAATGAACTCCGTCGGATTACCCCAATTCAAATGCCACTGGAACTCTGCTGATACTGCAAGAATCCTCCCAGCTGTCATTGCACACATGCTTATTTGTGAACTACTGAACTTGGTTTTCTTGTCTTTTTTCCAAAGTAGTGACTCTTGGCTTTTTCAAGTGAAGTTCAGATGGTGTGAAAATTAGCAGAAGAAAGAATTCTGAGTTCATTCCCTTTTCTTAAAAGTACTAGTGGCCCAGTGCACGAAATTTGTGCATGGGGGAGGGGTGTCCCTCAGCCCGGCCTGCACCCTCTCCAATCTGGGACCCCTCTTGCAACCTGGGACTGCTGGCTCCTAACTGCTCACCTGCCTGCCTGCCTGATTGCCCCTAACCACTCTGCCTGCCGGCCTGCTCAGCCCAAACTGCTGGTCTGGAAGGACATCTGGAAGGTCTCCCGGAAGGTCTCCCGGTCTAATTAGCATATTACCCTTTTATTCGTATAGATAAGAACATCCACTAACCCCAAGTAAGACAGAAGTCAAAAGTAGGTAAAATAAGGGCACAGCTTTATTTCACTACAAGGCAGTAAGTACATTGTCGTATCAAAAATTCAGTGCTAGTGATGTTGTACCAAACGTTGTTAAGGCAGCCACTGACTACGGACCCTAGTCTCTCCAGCCCAGCCGCAAACACAGGTTCCACATGTGCAGCAGTTCTCAGACCAGACACTTCAAAACCAAGAGGAATGCTGATCAAACACATACATTTGAATTTAGGAACAGTCAGGCCGAACTCAAAACAAAACAGGACACCAACAACATAAATCTCCCAAAAAATAAGTGCAATACATGCTCTTATGAACCACAGTTAACAACAACAAAAAATAACAAAAAACAAATGCAAAAATCTCCCAAATAAGTTTTCCAATGTATTACAAAAGGAAAAAAAAAGTATACATATAAAAAATAAAAAAGTCTGAAATACTAGTGCATAGTCAATTACCTAACACCAAGTCTCTGTCCAAAGCTCTACTGCTTCTCTCATACTAGCAGCATGTCTACAGGCTAAGACCATAGCAGCAAGACACATCTTTTCATTTGGCATTTACAAAATTAAATTACTGAATAAAAATATAATTTGTTTTATAAAACTATTTCATACAGTAATAATTTTTAAAGCAAGCCAACAAAAAACTCACCAAATGGTTTAGTACAATAAATGTACCTCCAATGTTAGTAACCATAAATGAGCATTTACAATCTCGATTAATTATCCCATGGTATTAAACCAACATTTATAGTAATGCATTGTGTTTAGTGGTTGAGAAAAGTGAAATATTGGAGTACCATATTTTGGGTAAAATTTCAAAAACCTCATCATGAAAAAATACTGGTCTGTTGGATCTTCTAAAATACAGGTAAATCACTTTATGTTTTAAAACATCTGCACTAAGATATTAACAACTGGATACAATTCATTACCTAATAATTTAGGTAAGACTGTTATTTATTTTTTTTAAAAAAATCCTTTTAGTTGGGTGAAATCTGATAAGATTTCATCCACCTAAAATGCACTTGGTGCCGCTCTCAACTGTTGTACCACAACAAAAATAGGTTCTTCTCCCTTTCATGAAAAGTTTCATGTAGAGGAACGACATATCCTAAGTCGACGTGAAGTGTTCTGAAAACCATAATGCTTGTCTGGGAACGTCTCACATGACCAGAGTCCGGGTTGAGAAGGCATTCCCATATTTCCGAGCCTGACCGGAGGCTGTCACCTGATCTTCCATCTTCCCACAGGATGCAGCTTCCCAGGCCCCGCTACAAGGCTGTTGGGGAAAAGAGGGCAACAGCAAGGTCAGACAGGAAGCACATATGTCAGCACCCAAACGGAGTCCCAATCCTAGCACCGCCAGCAGAGGGAATTTTGACCTCCAGATAGCAAGTGGTGGACACCAGGGAGCCTTGGTCAGAGAAAATTTTAACTCTCTGACACCCAGGAATCCAGCAGAAATTGTTTATACCTAAGAGAAAAAAATCCACTCCAATCAGTATCTTAAAATATAGCCACATTTTCATACTTGAGTGCCTTTTGTCTATTAGGCAATTTTACAAAGACAAGGATGGGGATAAAAATTCCCCAGACACCAAAGGTGAGCTCTATTTACCCATTAAGCAAACTCGTGAGTGCGTGAGTTCTCTGAATGAAGAAGCTCTCATAAGTGCTAGAATTGATCACCAATTCTTAAACATGGCATATGGTTTTTTTTAAAATAGCAATTAAATAAATAATTTAGAATATCTGTTTACCAGGAGAGCTTACTTTTATTTATTTATTATTTTTTAAATTAAATCTTTATTGTTGAAAGTATTACATATGTTCCCTCCCCCCATTGACCCTTTCTAGCCCCCGTCCCCCACTCCAGGCCTTCCCCACCCTATTGTCTGTGTCCATGGGTTATGCATTATGCATACAAATTCTTTGGTTGATCTCTTCCCACCCAGCCACCCACTCCCGCCTTCCCTCTGAGAATCCAGTCTGTTCCATACTTCTATGTCTTTGGATCTATTTCATTCTTCAGTTTATTTTGTTCATTAGATTCCACAGATGAGTGAGATCATGTGATACTTGTCTTTCTCTGATTGGCTTATTTCACTTAGCACAATACTCTCCATGTCCCTCCATGCTGCCTCAGGATAGCTCACTTCTCAAAGACACACCTCAACTAGTTACTAAAATTCTGATTTGACAAAACAATAGGTATACTTTTGATTCATTCACATTGGATGGCTATTGTGTCATTTGTTGTTGTTAAGAATATTTTCCCATTGATTTTTAGAGAGAGTGGAAGGGAAGGGGCGAGACACAGATGGAGAAACATTGATGTGAGAGAGACACATCAACTGGTTGCCTCTTGCACATGCCCTGGCCAAGGCCAGGGATTGAGCCCTTGACCGGAATTGAACCCGACACCCTTCAGTCCAGGGGCCAATGCTCTATCCACTTAGCCAAACTGGTTAGGGCTGTGTCACTTTTTTAAAATTTGAAAATCTAAGGGAAAAGAGGTCAGTATCTAAATAGTCAGAAATTGCATGTTTTAAACCAGGGGTCCTCAAACTACAGCCCACGGGCCACATGCAAATACAAATATTGTATTTGTTCCTGTTTTGTTTTTTTACTTCAAAATAAGATATGTGCAGTGTGCATAGGAATTTGTTCAGTTTTTTTTTAAACTATAGTCCGGCCCTCCAACGGTCTGAGGGACAGTGAACTGGCCCCCTGTTTAAAAAGTTTGAGGACCCCTGTTTTAAACATTCTGCAGCACACCAGTTGAAAATCACTGCTATAGGGAAAGGGCAACAATAGGCAGGATTTAGGTAGACTGGACAGAGAAGAGTGCAACCCAGGTGGGGAAATAGCATGAAGGAGTCAGGGAGCTGAGATCTGTACATTCTTTGTGGGAGGACCTGGGAGAGAAGAGATACAGTGCATTAAATGACCCTTCACAGGTGCTTACGACATACCTCCCATGCTTCCAAGTGATTTACATGATCATCTCATTTAATTCTCACACAACATACATGAAACACTGTACCTGTTTTACAGACCAGCCATTTAAAAGGAAGAGGGAAGTTAGGGAACATCCTCAAGGTCACCCAGCTAAGAAGTGATGAAGCAAGAATGTGAACCCAGGCCCTAGTGAGTGTAAGAAGCTGCGTCCATTAGAGTTCTTATCAGTGGACAATTGTGGGGTCAGGCCAGGAAGGCCTTGGAATGCAGAAAGAAGCACTTAGTTGGGGTGTCGAAGTTATCAGACTTTAGCAAGGAAGTATGATAAATCTGAATGAACGTAGTGATGGGGTTTCCTCACCTAGTGGCTGGGACAAAGTTTCAGTGACATAAGGTTTATAGCACATGTGTCTAACTTGCAAACTTTCATAGGACACAAACTGGGTTCACTCACTTCTGCCCAATCTGCCACCCATCTCCACCACCAACATCAAAGGCACCGGCCAAGTTTACACATGTTTACCCCAAAAGGCTCAGAGGCTCCACATGTAACCTGAACTGTACGACATAGCAAGGTGGATTATTATCGCAATATTTTCCTGGAAGTGGATCACAAAGGTGGCAGGACAAAGATGCCAGGCATCAGGGCTGACTTCTGCCACCGAGCCACTTTAATGTTTTCTCAAGCAAAAATCATCAGGGTAGTTATAGCCTCCTATGAAATAGTTCTGAATAAGTGATGTTTCTCTAGGTTCGAACAAGTAGATAATTCTCATACAAATTGCATGTTTTAGTTACTTGACTGTTAACATTTTTCAGTGCAGTATTGAAACACCAAATTGACACAAGAACCCAATTAAAAAATAAAATGCAATGCTATCATTTGAAATCTTGAGCTCACATTTGTAGTCACTGTAGCAGTGTGACATATAATAACTACCGTTTGAGAGCGAACAGCTTTACTATGGTGGATGTCTACCATGAAGTATTAAGCAGTGCTTGAAGTACTTGGATCTTACAAAGCTAGTGTCTAAAGAAGTATCAAAATGAAATATCTTAATATGCTAATATCCTATGTGTAAATCTAAAATTACATGAAGATACACACAAAAAACAAAAATACAAATTTTGAAAGAATGCATTCAAAAAATGGAGGGAAAGGGGAATCTAAGTGAGAATGAAGATGAAAATGAGGAGCAGGGAAGAATGTTCTTGTTTTTCCTGCTTAAGAATTTTTCTACTTAATTGTGCTTCAATTAATATAGAATTAATTTCTAAAATACTATGTTGAAACAGTCTTATGCTTGCTTTTACTACACTTCTTGGTTAAAGTCAAGCTCTGATCCTTGGCTATATGATACTTAAGCTAATTCAGAATTCCCAAAATCTGTTTGGGAGACTCTAATTCCAAGTATTACCAGTTTAATATATTTTCAACTTGAAATGTGGCTGTGTTCTTGCTGGATCACCCACACGCTATCGCTTTATTCATATTTGGCTCTCCTCCAGGACCAGATGTTTAAAATATGATCAGTATAAGGAAGGTACCATATATTTTAAAGTAGGATTTTGAGATAAACTTTTCAGTCAACTTTTCTTAAGTCAAAGTGGAATTTACCAAGAAGTAAATCAAATGGACTGAAATATTCAAGTTCCAGAAAGCAGAGCATTTCAGGGGCATATGAGCCCTGAAGCTCAGGGCCTAAGAAGGGCAAGACGACTTGGAACACCTGACTCTCCCAGTGCAAACACCAGGACAGAGTACCACTGTGTACAAGAGCCACTGTGTGCAGAACAATAAGCCAACAGGTAAGTGTGCGGGCACCACCTTTTCTGCACCGTGAGAGCACAAAGCAAACACTTCTTACAGCAATGAATGAATAAAACTGGTCAGAGCGGGCACATACCCACACCTACAGCATGAAAGGGAGAGCAGAAGGCCGAGTACTTGGGTAAGAAAAGAAACACTCAGGCCCAACAGCCCAAATGGCAGCTGCCTCCTCTTCTGCTATTTCCTTCTCCCTCCTTAACTTGAAGCCCTGGGGCCCTGGGCCAACTTTTCATGCAGACAGAATAGTTTTGACAAACAAGGATTAAATGTCTTTGTGCTGGAAGAAGATTTTTTAATACTGTCATGTAGATCTTTGTGCATCCTCCTCATTCCCTCTCTTTAAATTTTAGTTTCATTTACCATAAAGGATTGATAAGAATTACAGATTTGTGCACACAAATTCTTGTTAAGTTACTAACCCATGGTACTATTGCAGACATGTCACTCTACCCAGATTTATTTCAACATTAATAATCCTACCACACATCCTCCTCCTCTTGCCTGCAAGTCACCTTGCTTATCCTACAATCTACCTTTACTGCCCCTGGGCAGAAGTGAACTGTAAACAGACTGTCAGAGCTTTCACTGAGATATCCTGCTAAAGCACTTTAAATAAATACTCAGATCCTTTGTAGAAAACAGAAGAAATAAAAGGAGACAAGACCATGTCCGCAGGTGGTTTTCTGTCAGATTATCTTCACATTTTTCACTTAGAATATGAATAGTTTTTTCATCATGCTGAACAACAACTATTATTATCATTACATTCAAATAGCAACCTCACACAATAGCTGCTGATGTCAAAGGCCTTGGCAAGGTATGTGCTCTGCAATCCGCAGGCCTAATAAGAAATTTGCATAAATCATAAAAACCAATGCAACTTGTGAGATGATATTATGTTTTTCTTTTAAATTATAAGCAGATATGAAAGATGTCCAAAAGAGTATGAATAAGAATGATCTGATTTTTCTATTTAGCCCATCTGAAGAAAATAGTTTGGGCTAAAATTATAAAAGTCAGAATTCCTTCCTGAAGGGGCATGTTTTTAAAATGTATCAGTTATAATAGATAACAAAGAAATATTTAGTTGTATCTTGAAAGTCAAAGATGAACCTGGGTGAACTGTCACTAAGATAAGGTTATTTTAGGTTTCCAGACTTTTCTCAGGCATAAATGCCACCCTATGCATAAATGCACAAAACAATGACTGTCCCTAACTTCAAGATGTTAACTTTTCATAGTAAAGAGCCCTAAAAATTAGGGGAGAGAAGGCCCAGGCAGTGACAGGAAGTTGTCTAATCCACCAGTGCCTCCACTTCCCATCCAAGCCTAAATTAACAATTGCTAATACACAGGGACTTTGCCTAAATTTGGAGTTTGTCCCAGATATCTCTAGGGGTCTCTTCACTTTACATCTTTATAGATTTTCCAACAGTTTATATCTTATAGCCTAGGGTGTTACAAATTTTTGGAAGAATAGCTCTTTCCTTAGTCACATATTAGTTCCAGACTATTAAGATTAAGCCAAGAGCCAAATTGCTCTAAAGTAAGTCTATCTTTGCTGGCCCGAGGAAGATTCAATGTCATAGTGTTAGCAAACCAACCCAAACAAAATCACCACATCTTGTAATATCTGGGGCAGGGCACCCTGAATTGGAGAACTTGACATACCTTCCTACTCATTTAGCCTTTCTCAGGTCAGCCCCAAAATTATACCCAGCAAACTTGCTTAATTTATTTATTTTTAAAAAATTTTATTGAATTTATTAGGGTGACTTTGGTTAATAAAATTAAGTAGGTTTCAAGTGTACAACTCTATAATACATTATCTGTATATTGCATTGTGGGTTCACCAACCAAAGTCAAGTCTCCTTCCTTCACCATTTATCTGCCCCTTCCTCCCATCTCCCCTCGACCCACCAAACTTGCTTATTATATAACATATCTTAAAAGCAGGTTGCTGAAATATTACTGACACTTATGCAAAATTCTTGCCAGGACAAGTGGAAAAAAGTGACCCAAAGGGAGAACCAAATGAATATGAACGTATACGACAACACACTGTACTAAAGAATGCCCGGAAAGCTCGATGCCACATGGAGACAGACTGTTTCCATATCTGTTGACATGCCAACACAAGCAACAGAAAAAATAGAGAAAACCAGTAAGTCAGTTGTTTCATTTCCATAGCACCAATGAGATCTGACTACCTTTATTTCAGGAATCAGTTGAATCAGCCCTTTCTTTTGGTGACCCACTGACACAGTTCTGCATGAGTGGAACAGGGAATGAGACAATGTGTTAGAGGAAATAATACACCACAGTGCAAGAAGACTGGTCGTTGGTGAGGCCTCCTTGCCTGTGTTTCTAAGGACAGGGCTGCACACGGCCTTTGCCTAATAATAGACACCACCAATGTACACTGGCAAGTGAGCTGCCATTTTGAAAGCATTAGAATATCCACTTGAACTTCATAGCAACCTTGTGGGATGAGTGAGGGATGTGCCATGATCCTAATTTTCAGACAAGAGCCTTTTGATCTGAAGAGGCTAATGAATTAAAGACATGCATGCAATTAGAAAAGGATGGTGTCTAGACTAGAATCCAGGTTCCTGCTATCTGTGTGGTAATTTATTACACTCCTTAGCAACGCCGATCAGGCAAAAGTGTTTTTACCCTATTAAAAAAATCATAAGTAATTTATATAAAAATAGGAGCAATCCAAAAGACGCGAAGCTGAAAAAAGTGAGCTTTAATTGTTTGTAATAATATTTTAAGATTTTTGATGCTGTGCAAATGTGTTTAAATTATAATGGCTTGAGAAATTGACTTAAACTCACTTTTTAGAAAAGTAAGGCCATGACAAGCCAAGTCAGGAAATTAAAATTTAAGGCTGTCATTCTGTGGTTACCAAAAAGAGGAAAGTGAGTGAGTAAAAAGCATATGAACACATCTTTTACACTTGGGTTTTAAATAGGAATAAAAGGAAATTATAATTTAAGAGAAAAATACAGAAGTTCAGAAGGCTTATAACTTAAGTACAGTTTCAGATCTACTAATAAAAATGTCGATCTTAAGAAATGCTTGGCGGTAAAATGTATTTATTTAAAAATGTAAAGCAAATTGAAAGCATATTGAGGAAAATAGGCACCTCTTTTCTTCTTGCCGAGGAGGGAGTGTGTGTGTGTGTGTGTGTGTGTGTGTGTGTGTGTGCACCCGCTGCAGGCTCTCTCAGGGTAACTTTTGAACAGCTCAAGCTTTCTAGGCTGAATGTTTATTTCCTCACTGTGATCATTTTTGAGCTTTTAGACTCCATTCTCTACCCCCCCCCCCCCCAAATCGGGGGGAAATGGTCCAAGATGAGGAAAATGGTCCAAGGTGAAAATCTCACATATTTTAAGCTACACAAAAGACACAAATATCAAACATGTCTCAGAACATTTATATTATGATTCCCTGGCTGCTTTTATAATTTAAAATTAAAGCACCTTAGAAACCAACAAGAAACCCAACAATTATAAGATTATGTACTTCCACAAACTACTTTTGGCAAATATTCAACATAAATAATTTTAAAAACAAATATAACATTAGTTGTGCATAATGGCTAATAATTGCCTCTAAGCATTCTAGCTTATGTGTTAGGAGGTATATGGAGAGTTCTGATTTATAAAATTTATTGCTTCTCAATGCACATAGGAATGGATATATTTAGTACCCTGACTTTGGTCTCTACAGACATTTCCCACTAAAATGGCCAATCTTGGGGAAATGGTTGGTTTCTAGGAAGAGAGGAAGGAAATGTGGCTATTAAATTAAAGCCATTTGAATGAAATAAAATTGAAAATTCTGTTCCTCAAAAGCACTAGCCACATATGACAGCAGCATACTGGTATGGAACATTTTTATCATGGCATAGGTTCTATTGGACAGCATTGGTCTAAAGATTAAGAGAGATTTAAGAGACTTAAACACCAAATGCAATGTGTGAAATTGTTTCAATTTTGATCAAACAAACAATAAAAAGATTATTTTCTGGATTAATGGGGAAATTTAAATAAAGCCCAGGAATTAGAATATCAAGGAAGTATTGTTAATAATGTCATCCATAGTATTAAGTTATATATGAAAATGTTCTTACTTTTAGAGGTACATGAGAATAAAATATTGCATTGTCTGGAATTTTAGAATGCTTCATAAAAAATGGATGAGATATATATGGCAAAGTGTTAATAATTGCTAAATCTAATTCATAGAATATTTTCTATACTTCTATGTATGTTTGAGATATATCATAATGAAATGTTAAACTCATAGCTTCTTGCAGTTCTAGTTTTAATATATCACATGTATTTACACATATTTCTGTATAAGCATGTGCATTTATATGTACATGAAAAGCTGAACCTTGAGGCCCAGTATCTGGGCCTCAATAAGAGTAATTGGTCTGTGTGAAGTGTTACTGCCATAATAAAGCCAGCAATGATTAAAACCAAAATGACAGAACCCAGAGTTGCACAATTATGTAGTCTTCAATAAACTGTTCTTATACCTAAGGAAAGTTATTTAGACAACTAGATGGATAGATAATAGTTATGTAATACTGCACTATTACAAGTGGCAAATATTTTAGAAGTCTCGGAATTTTAAAATACTGTAGGAGTCATATTTAGTTGTTTTAATTAAAAAGCACTATGATAAAATATGTAGTTTGGCTAAAATCTCACTTAACATTTGATTTATTGTAAGTATAAATAAAGTTTATAGAAGTTAAATGTATATATAGTACTTTAAATCAAATAGCCACATCATTTAACAAAGGCACAATATGTTCAATAATACCATGCATGAGAGATATGCCTAATTAGGTCAAATTATCAATGGATACATATGATAAAGCACTGTTTTAAACAAACAAAATTACCAAATTGCATAAAAACCTATATATTGTTGAGCTAGGATTATATGAAGTATAGGCAATATATGCTTAAATATTTAGAATTATTTGATGCATTCTTAATGTTCATCATAAAAGTTTGAAGCATTTTAGAAATCACATATTTCTATGGTATCAGAAGCTAGATCTTCATGTCACAAAACAAAGGAGATACTTAGTGTGTATGATTCATTCATTTAATAAATATTTCTTAAAATGAATTGGTTACCCATTATAACAGGTTATTAAAGTAAATTTGAGCAGTGTACATCAGTAAACCATATAGTGCAGACAGAAGGATTGACTCTAAAAATAACTTTCAGGTCTCAGTTATTCAGTTTAGTAGAATTGACAAATACCACTTTCACTGTTGGATGAACATAGCTGGCTTAAACTTAGTATATAGATGTCAGAATCGCTAGAGTTCCAGAAAGGACTTGTTAACATGCTGGAAATACAGATTAATAAAACAGAGCTATTACTTAATTTTGAATTTCAAAGATAAGTAATGTCTTCTTGAAATAAAATATAAATATGTTGATAATAAAGTTCCATACTGATTTTTAAAAAATTCAATAGCATTAAAAACTTAAATACAGTTGACCTTTAACAATGTGAGGGCTAGCAACACTGACCCCTGCACAGTAGAAAATCAGTGTATAACTTTGACTTCTCCAAAACTCAGTTGTCCTTTGGTACCCATGGGGAATTGGTTCCAGGACCCCCTCAAGTACCAAAATTCACAGATGCTCAAGTCCTTTATATAAAACTAGAGGCCCGGTGCACGAAATTCGTGCATGGGTGTGGTCCCTAGGCCTGGCCGGCGATCGAAGCGTGAGCATCTGGTGTGGAAGGGCAGGTCCCAGCTGACCTCTGGGCCCTGGGAAGCACCTGGGCCCCCAGGCCCCTGTGCGCTCCCCTCCACCTGAATCATCGGGCCCCCACCCGGCTCCCCCAGCACCTGGGAGCCAGGCAGCAGCCCTGCCCCCAGCTGGTCGCCATCTGCAGGAGATAGGCAGGGCATTTGGGCCCCGCTCACACCTGCCTTGGCCTGGCACCGCCCGCTCACCTGCTCCACCATCCCGCTGCAGTTCTACTCTCTTCGGGGCCCATCGGGGCCAGCAGTGCCTCCACTGCCACCCGCTGCCAGCACTGCGTTGCCAACACCCACCATGCTCCACGCTACCCCCTGGTGGTCAGCACACGTCATAGCAAGCGGTCGAACTCCCAGTCGAATTCCCGGTCAAGGGGACAATTTGCATATTAGGCTTTTATTATATAGGATAGTGTAGATCAGCCCTTTGCAATCATAAATTCAACCAATCACTGTTTGAAAATACTGTTTTTGATCCAAGGTTGGTTGAATCTGTGGGTGTGAAACCTGAGGATACATAGGGCCTACTATTATATATTTATTGACAAAAAAAATCTGCATATAAATGGACCAGAGCAGTTCAAACCCATGTTGTTCAAGGGTCAATTGTACTGATAACTTGCCAATTTTAGATAACATATATTTTATATCAGTACCATGTTCAACCCAATGGTTTTGGCTAAATACTAATTGGTTATGCCAAACACTTTTAGGATTCGATTTTAGAAAAATAACCAAGGGTTTTCACCTTAATCATAACTACTTAAGTGTATTTTACATAGTTGCTCTTTGAAATTTAGAATGCCCTTTTTATATACTACTAAAATGTGGGTTGAGTCCCACAAGCTAAGTTACAAAATATATGCAAAACTTAATCTACCTTAATGTACGAATAGCACTTAGTCAAATTCTATGCTGTGGAAACCAAGGGCCAAGTAATTTAGGAAGGGAAAGGGAAAGAAAAACAAGGAAGGCATCTTCCTTCTGGAGCCAGGATCAGCGCCAGGTGAAACTAAGAAGTACAGTGGGGCCTTGACTTACGAGTTTAATTCATTCCGAGACCGAGCTTGTTAAGGAGCTCGTTAGTTAACTCAAATTACTCTATCAACTCAATGCAAAAAATCGGCAGAGAGACAGCTGGTATCTCAAAAAACTCGTTAGTCGGGACACTCGTAAGTCAAGGCCCCACTGTAGCTACCTTTGCCTTGACACCCTTCTAAACCACCTTCTGTGTCCCTCTTGTGCTTTGGTGGAGTTCGTTCCCTTTGTCATCTCCCAATTCTTTGTGATATTCTGAATCTTCTGCACATGGGGCCTACCCAGGAACCACTCCGGGTGCCCCACAAGCACCGACTCTGCCTATCCACACTTTGGTTAACAGTCACCTTTCACCAATGCCTGTTGGATCAGATAGAGGCCACAGGAAAGCAATCTGATCGAATTAAGCATCAAAATGTGCCTAGAGCCCTTCCAGCTGTATTACTTGCATTACATTATTTGTATCACTTGAAAAATAATGCTAAATATCACAAATCATTAAAAGGGGGAAATTTTAAGATACTCACAATTTGGAGAGAGAAGGCCTCCCCAAAGATGGGAAAGCCCTTTACAGAAAGGGCAAGCTCCCAAAGCCCACATCCTATTCCAGCGCACTTAACTCACAGTACACCCTTGACTGTCCACTTCTAAACCCAAGTTATTTATATGCTCCAAGGCTTATGAAGTCCCCCTTCGTGTAGCTCAGGGAAATGGAGGGGGCGCTCTGCAGGTGGCTGGGCAAGGGGCTATTTAATGTTGGGAAATGCTTTAAATAATTTAGGGGAGTAAATTTGCATTCTTATTTACATCTGGTGCAGGATTAATTTGGAATTTGTTGTATTTCATTAACACATACTGACTTCAGAGTTACAAGAGAAATTCTTTTGACATGAAAACCCAGCAGCAGATGGTCAACAACAGGTTAGCCCTATGATATTGACACTTGACTTTCTTATTCTCATAGTCAAATATGTCGTAATTATTTTTTTTTAGCTAGCTCATTTCAAACTTCATTTAAACTCTAAATAGCGGCTTGAGTTGATAGCTTAGTGATGGAGCATAAAAAATTTTTGGAACAAAAAGTAAACTATAGCAATGAACTTTATAGAATTTTTAAAAGCAGAAGGAGATATTGACACATGTGTAATATATGAACTTAGTCTCAGACACAGTAAGAAATGTTTCATCTCATCATGCATTGGGAACCTGCTCTAATAAAAATTTCCAGCATGTCTCATATGAGTGGCAGCAAGGAATTTTCAATTTTTTGAAAAAATATTTTTATGGATTTCAGAGAGGAAGGGAGAAGGAGAGAGAGATAGAAACATCAGTGATGAGAAAGAATCATTGACCAGCTGTCTCCTGCATGCCCCACACTGGGGATCAAGCCCACAACCCAGGCATGTGCCCTGACTGGGAACTGAACCCTGGCCTCCTGGTTCAAAGCTTGATGCTCAACCACTAAGCCACAACTGAGTTTTTATATCAAGAGTTGTTTAAAAGTACCACTCCTCTATGTCTAAAAACTCTTATCAAAGGATTATCGGTCGATGGACTGATTGATTGATTGTCAAAGTGGACTTTACTTCAGTAGCTCACAGTGGCCCTGCTCACCCCACATGAGAGAGGAGTCCTGATTGGGGTTGAATGGTCCACCTCAATTGCTGCCAGTTGCACCCAGCCCTGGGCAGGGGGAGGGACAGGCTTTTCCCAGCTTGTCCTAGGGAATGACTTTTAAGATACCAATGTTGGAATGGTAATTACCTGCAAGGGACTTGCCAGGGACCTGTTTTTAGGTACTGTAAAAGCTTTGAGAACGTTGTCTTCATCCTCTGATACTGGCGTCATTAAAACGGAACTTGTAAGAATATTCTAAAGGGAAAGAGAATAATTTGAAATTCAAATGAAGTTGGATAATATGAAAGCCAACACAATTCTGACACTATAGTGAGTAGATTGCTATGAGGTGATACACATTAGTGGGGAAAATTCAGGTATCTGCCAGAAATTCTCTTCTCAATGAACTAAAAGGAAAACTCAACTATGTATTAACCCTAATCCCACTGTGGCCAACACCAATAAGAAAAAAAGCGAGGCACTCAGAAAACATCTGCTAAATGAATTACTAAATACATCTTTAAAAATGAAAGTTTTACTAATCTCTAGTGAGAATTACTTATTTTATATATTGGCACAAAAATATTTCAGAGGTAAAAATTAGTGGCAGTATAATATTAATCGTTAAAAGTATGTAATTTAAAACTAGACTTTCTGAGTTTTAACCCACTTATTAGCTATATGATCTTGAGCAAGTGACTACGCCTCCTGGTGCCTCAGTTTCTCAACTGGTATAATGGAAATAATGTTACCAACCTTGTAAGGATGTTGAGAGCATGAAATGAGTTAATGTATCTAAAGCTCTTAGAATAGTACTTATCACTTTGTACATATTGAAAAAATATTAGCAATTGTTACTAGCTTTGATTCATCATAAAGGACAATCATTTACAAATTAGAAACTTAAAAAAATGGTGGTAACTGGTGCTAAAAAAAAGAAATGAGCCATCAAGCCATGGAAAGACTTGAAGGAAACAAAAGTACATATTATTAAGTGAAAGAAGCCAGTCTAAAAAAGCTACACAATGTATGATTCCAACTATATGACATTCTGTAAAAGGCAAAACCATGGAGACAGTAAAAAGATCGGTTGGTTGCCAAGGGCTGAGGGGGAAGAAGGGCTAATAGGTGGAGCATAAAGAATTTTTAGTGAAACTACTCTGTGTGATACTATAATGGTGGATACATGTCATAAATTTATCTAAACCCATAAACTTTACAACACCAAGAGTGAGCCCTGATATAAACTATGGACTTCGGGTGATAACTGTAACAAATGTATCACCCTCGTGGGGGGTGTTGATAATGAGGGAGACTGTGCGTGTGTGGGGACAGTGTGTATATGGGAAATCTCTGTACCTTCTGCTCAACTTTTCTGTGAGCCCAAAACTACTATAAAAAATAAAATCTATTTTAAAAATGGTTGTAACCAAAGCAATCCATTATAGGGTACAATAAAGGGCATCCACTATAGACACTATAGCACTATGCCACATGCTACATAGAACCAACCAGGTGACAACTTAACAAGGAAATACTACATTTAAAAGACAAATAAATAAATGAAAAGAAAATTTAAAAATTAACATTCTGTTTTCATGGAAAATACATATGCTCATACAGCAGATTTTTTAAATGGCAAGGACTTTCAAATCCTAAGAAAACAAATAATGACAAAGTCTGCAATGGAATAGAACCTATTTCCAATACATAAACAAAACCTCAACTTTACATTCAACATTAATAACAGTAAGAAAATACTCATGCAAGAGAATATTTCGATGATGCATTGAGGAGTGCCGAAACCACAGTAGCCCACGGGCCACACACAGAATCCTGTGTGCACCAACATCTCATCGCATGGATGTGTACTTACTGGCATATCTGCCACAGGTGATGCCTGTGTGAACAGCTGAGTGTTCAGATTCTCGCCTTCCCAGTGGTTCGAGCAGAAGAAGTTTCCTGCTTTATCAGTTGGAGATTCCACCTAAAAGCAAAGAGGAAGTGCTTTGTTGTTTCAAGAACCAGAATTCCCCAGGAAACAGTTCTACTCAAGAGTAAATTTCTGTAAAATGAATAGGGTCTGAGAGGATCATGTATAGCATGGTAACTATAGTTGATGTCACTTATTGTATATTTCAGTGGTTCTCAACCTTCCTAATGCCGCGACCCTTTAATACAGTTCCTCATGTTGTGGTGACCCCCAACCATAAAATTATTTTCGTTGCTACTTCATAACTGTAATTTTGCTACTGTTATGAATCGTAATGTAAATATCTGATATGCTATATGTGTTTTCTGATGGTCGCAACCCACAGGTTGAGAACCACTGGTATAATTGAAATCTGCTAAGAAAGTAGAATTGAAATTTTCTCACCTATAAGGGCGAATATGTGAGGCGATGGATGTGTTAACTAACTCAATGAGGAAGAATCCTTTCACAATGTACACATATATCAAATCATCACGTTGTACACTTTAAACAATTTACAACTTTACTTGTCAATTACATCTCAATTAGGCTGAAAAAGAGTAAATGTCTAGCCAGTCTCCTAGTCACTTATCCTTATATGAAAATACATTCAAGAGGCACTGTATCTAAGCTGTTAGAAACATTTCTTGCTACCAAGCTCAAACTTTGATCCTTGCAATTTAGATCCCCTTTTTTATACCATGAATTAAAGATACTATTATTTTAATTTAAATTTAAATTCTCCATGACATCTAAAAATTAAATATATATATATGTATCAATAATCTTTCCATCTATGTAGCCAGGGACAAAAGTAAGTAAAAAGCTCCTTCATTCTCATTCCTTTATCCTCTCCAAACATGAAGTAGATAGAAGTGGCTTGGCTTCCCAAATGACAGGCCACATGCCTGCAGTCTGACAGCAGCTCTGAACTGCCTCTGGCATGAAAATCTTGTAGGAAAAGGGTATTGTTCCACAATGATGATGCAGACTCGTCCATAAGGAACAGAGGGAACAGCATTCACAGCCTATTCCTTTCAAAGGATCGCAAATTTACCTCTTGTTTGATCTTCTTCAGTAAAGGTCCATTTCCTTGAAACTCGGTAACAATTCCAGATTCATCAGATTCCTGTTTGATCACATCCTGCAGGTCTTCTACTAGATGAGATGGTGTCTGAGGCTGAAGGGAAGAGTGGGCATGCCATTTGCATCAGAGGAAAATTTCTGTCTGAACTAACAAACCAACTAACCCAAGAATTTTGCAAACACTTACTAGCATCTTCAGGGGGCCATATTTTATTTCTTGAGCTGCAAGTGCATGTTTAAATGGTGTAGGGGTTCTAGGAGAGCTTTCTAGGATTGACTTTTTGATAGCTGGAGTTCTGAAACTTTAGAAAGAAAACAAGTGTTGGCTCCATACACAAGAACATATGTCCCTCACACTGCTCTCCCTATTACATTTAATATTTTTCTACTGAATAAAAGACTCTGTTATTGATATGGAATTGGGTATGCTGATTAATCACACGTGTATTGTTAACAAAAAGATATTATGTACATCAATCGTTCTGAAAACACATGTACTGCCTGCCCCTGGGTTTCTATAATGATCATAAGCATTGTGAAGATCTGATGTCATTTACAAATACATTTCACCTATTATTAAAACAGGGTCCACAGTAGAAAACATGTTAATATTTTAAACTACTTATTGTACTTGGAAATAATATGATTAAAGGTTGATTAAAACTCATATTGATGTTCTCTGCCATTTCTTTGAATTGGTTAAGCCTTTATTGAATATAAATGACTGCTTAATCATTCCTATAATATCATATAATATTACTGGGGGTGTCAGAAGCAGTCCTAATCTATATAAATTTCAAAAGAAAAAAATAAGGTTAAAAAATATGAACTAAAAAGAACTATTCTCATTCTTGTTCCGAAGTGTATAATCAAAGAGAAAAGGAGGCTAAAAATCTTATTTTCAGTGAAGAAGAAAAGGCCTATTGGACAAACAGAAAAACTGAATGGAAAAGTTATATAAAAACTACCTCTGCATATATGGGAAAATTTGAGGTAAACTACAAAAATTAATTTAGTTTATCCTCCCACCATCTACCCCTGGATAGTTATAATAGGCCCAGGACACATATTCAATGTGGAATATACATGATTAAATACATACAAGTGGATCCATAACATTATATACATTCAAATGGATCACAGTGTTGATGCCAGACACTGGGGACTATATTGAGACATTGGAGACTACATTCTCTTAAATAACTATAAGTAAATAAGATCAATAATTTTATTTTTGAACCAAGAACTTACATAGTATTTTCCTTTTGAGCTTTCACAGTCTGGTCTCTATGAAATGGTGTTGTAACAGTCAATTTGTGACCACTGAGAGGGGTGGCAGTTAAAGAAGGCATTTCCAAGTCTAAGTTTTCATGATTACTGGAAGTGTTTAAGAACTAAATATGGGAAGAAAAAAATTACTTAGATCAAGCAGTCATTCTTTATTGAGCCAAGTTTAAAAATCACACTGTGATAACAAGCAAATATGTTTTACTGACCCACCATATAAAATAATAAAGATGCTCACAACATGTAGTGTTGGACAAGGGTATCATTTTATGTTAATTGAACACCAAGATTTGGAGTCTGACTTAAAAAAAAAATTCCAACAAAAATCTAGGGTCAATGATGAAAAAATTGCAAAATCCTAAGAAAATATTCTCAATAAATGACATTTGCCATTAAAGAAATAAGATGCACTCTTCATGAAGATTAAAAGTGTTACAGTGATTTGGGGAAAATAATGATTATTTTTCTTTTATACTCTGTTGTCTCTCTTTAATGATCGTTGAGCCATTATTATAGAAAGCTTACATTAGGTGGTACATTTTTTAATAATAAGCTATTTCTCTCAGAACATTAATGTTCTAGGAAAATAATAGGTGTTCCTCAAACAGTTCCAAGGTAAAATAAATTTGGGAAATACATGTCATAATCTCCTCCTGGACATTCACAATGCACATCAGTAAATTAAAATCAATCTTTAACTTAGTTTGAGTCAGTGTTTCCCAAACTTATATACTTTATATGTGGATGGAACATCTATCAAAATCTTGCAGAATGAATATTATCTAGAACACAATTTGGAAAATACAAGCAAAAAGCAAGATAAATTGTTTTGGTGAGTGCATCACATTTGTTCATACTTAGTGCTGTTCTTAATACTCAACAGACATAATTGGAAAAACATTTTAAAGTGCCAAATTACCTATTAATTTCAATTATTTTAATAATTAAGAAACACCCAAGTTTTTAAAGGAATTACAATTTCCATGCCTTTAAAAAATACTATATGAAACAAGAATATTCATTGGCAAAAAACTATGCTAATAAAATCTTATGGCACAACTCAATATGCCATAATTGAGAAATTGAAATTAAAACATAAATTGTTTTCCTTAAGCATTTGTCCTTCATGCTCTTCCCAAACTTTTCCACTTAAAGATGGAATGGAACCCTTAAAATTTCTAGCTGCAACCCAAGCATAGTTTGCTTCCCTCCGCCCCTGGGTCAGTGAATCATGTAAGTGAACAAAGAGGCAGAAAAATCTGTGAAAATTTTTAAAGGGAGTGAGGGAAGGGAGAAGAGAAAGGGATAGAAATGTTAAACTCTAGTAGTGGAGGAAATAATAGCACATCTCATGCAACTAACCATCTTTCAAATCACCCGAAAGAGAGAATTATGACAAAATCATCAGTCAACGTACAGAGAGCCTAAACTTTGGGAGGCAGTATAACTTAGCAACAGCTAGATTCAACAATGCAACAAAATCAGTGAGGGTAAAAATAATTAGTCATTTGTCCCAAAGGATTAGTTTCTAGATTATTAAGGCTTGATTGTCTGTTGAAAATTAGTAACAGCTGCGCAGAAACTGTGCTCTACCTGCGAGGGGGAGAAGGACAGGCTTTTGACAGGGGACCGATTGGGAGTTGAACTGCTGACGTCAGCAAATATGAAGGACCTAGGGTCTCCAGTGGCTAAGGGGCTGGCCTGGCGCCGCTTTGTTCGAAGGATGACCAGTGGAATGGTGCTGTGCCTCGCAGGAGGTACGGGCTTGAGCGGGCCAAGTGAACCCTCACTCAACGTGCGTTTGCTAGGCTCTCTTGCGGGTCTATCCACATTGCCCTCTCTTTGCTGGAGCTGTAGGGCTTTGCCTGCATGCTGTTGGCTAGGTGAAAATTCTGCTTCTCCAAAGAGTTCAAAATTGCTGAGGTCACACCATGATGAAGAATCCTGAAAGAATGTGGGAGGCGCAGAACTCTGAGACAGTGTGTGCATGATATGTGCCGTCACCTGAAACAGCACTGAGAAAGAGATGCCGAATGCAAAGAAAACACCTGCCGGGCCCCCTTGTTTAACATCTTCAGGATTAACAATTGTTCTGATACTCTGCTGGTCCTACAGGAGCGATGCAGGGACCGTTGGGTACTCTAGCATTTGCATGCAGTCCAAAGCAAAAAAAAACAAACCCTTTCCTAGATGGCACACTTGGCAATGTTTATCCCCTGTCTGAGGGGCACTGATTGGAAGCTGAACGGCAATACAGGCTTTTTAACCACTGGGAGACAGTGGAAATGAGCAGAGTGTCTGCTCTTGAGGGGCTGAACCCAAGTCTGCTTCACTGAAGGTGGTTTGTCTCAGTGAACCATATGAGACTGGTAATCGATAACCAATGTTTTGTGGAGAAAGCCATGTACCACCAATGAACCTATTACCACTTCAAATATATTGAAAGATTGCTTTAAGCTCTGAGCAAACATAATTCTGAATGTGCTGTCCAAAAGCAAGGCACAATTCTAGAGAAACACAAAGAAGGAAACAAATTAAAAAAATAAAAGATAACTCAAAGATCATTCCCATAACCCAAGCTCTACTTTTAGGTCATTAACTTCACTATTTAAAAAAAAATATGCATTTTGAAGGAAATGTGTGAAAAGCTACCTTTTATCTGGGTAGCCTATGAAATCAGATCTTTGGGGGGAAAAACATACACAGAAAAACTAAAATAATATTTTTACCTTATATGTTAATTACACGATAGTTGGCTCTAGAAAATGGCAATGCTTTGAGAAATGGGTTTCCTCACTCCCCTTCTAGAAACATTAACATGCCTGAATAATCTACTTACAGAATCTATAAATTGAAGTGTTTCTGCAAATTCTAAGAGGTTCTTAACATTATCCAGAATGGCTCCTTGGTGGACGATCATGCACCTCGCAGGAGAGGCGCTTTCTTCAGGTAAGCAGCCAGGATCCACAGGCAGAGATGGCGTGGAGTGGTGCTCTTCCAAACAGGAAACAGGTGCACTGTCTCCATGAGGTCTGGTGTGGTCGGCGATGGTGGTGCTGTGCCACCCGGGGTAGCTGCATGTGTGGTTCTGTGTCTAAGGAGGTGGGGGGGGGGAATAAAGAAAGAGCGGGGAGAAGAAAGGGAGAAGGAACTTAGCAATGAAGTTGCACAAGGTATCAGATGCTGTTGGAGGAAAGATAAAAGTAGTTGCATCATTCAGAACTTGCGCCTATGAAACAGTTGTCAAGATGTTTCCTTTTATCAATGCAAGACCCTGCTTTTTAATAGTGGTATAGTCTGTCATCTACACGATGACCTTAATTGCCCATCCTTTCGTTAAAAATGCAAACAGGGGGAGCATGTTACAAAGCCCGACTCTCACATGGAGTTAAAAAATCTATTAACATAATTTCCAATAGGACCATAAATGTTTGCTGTGAATTAAGAATTCTCCTATTCTTTCTAACCTACATAAAGGCTGGAGAATGCAAGAGTTAGAGTTGCCTTTCTCTGCATATATTCTTGTTGCTTCTATCCCAGCTGTGGGCAAACTACGGCCCGCGGGCCAGATCCGGCCCGTTTGAAATGAATAAAACTGAAAAAAAAAAAAAGACCGTACCCTTTTATGTAATGATGTTTACTTTGAATTTATATTAGTTCACACAAACACTCCATCCATGCTTTTGTTCCGGCCCTCCGGTCCAGTTTAAGAACCCATTGTGGCCCTCAAGTCAAAAAGTTTGCCCACCCCTGTATCCCCTTCTACTGCAAAGGATTGCACCGATGCAGAGAAGGAGTGCCAAATCAACGTGGTTAGGAAAGCAGAAGAGCAAATTAACAGAAGTCTCCTTTCAGCATGACCACGAAACAGGAGAAATTGCAAAACATTCAAGTTAAAAAGTGGGCAAACTAACATAAGCACATAATAATGGTATTATTTAACCAAAAAAGTTTTTACTCCTAGGAATACCTACTCTGTATCACATCTCTTTTATTTACTTGGCTGGTTAACTACATATGTTACAAATTACAAGCTGCTTTCCCAGTTTGCTGCTCAATCACTAAAAAAGATGTCAACATTCAGTAATGGTTCGCATAGCTTTCACATATGCAAACAAAAGAGAGCAGCTAATGTTATTCATGGGAGAGTATATGCATCTTTTTCACATGTGTACACCGAACATGCACCAAATCATGTATGAAATAATAAAGTATGAAAATCTAGGTTAAGAAACATAATAAGGAAAAAATGAAATGAATAGGCATCATACAGATACAAAGCTTTGTAAAAAATAGTTTCATTCATTTTTATCTTTGATAGTCTTTGAATTGATTCCAGTCCTTCTAAAAAAATCAATGATGACAATCACTAATAGATGTGTCTATTGCAACATAAAAGAACTACTTCCAATTTAGTCAACATTCTTATACCAACTGGGTTTTATTACACAAAACTCATGTTTAAATGTCACTAATGGATATATAGAGTCTTGACTTTGTAATATTTAGAAGAGAAGGAAAAAGATACAGAAGAGCACTGGGGTAAAGCCACACTCCTCCCATTTCGGCCCACGGTGACATTCTTACTGGTAGCGCCTGCTGTCCTTTGAGCTCATTCTCAGTTGACATTAGGAGCAACTCTAATTCCTTTATTCGTTTTTCTTTCTCAGGGTCTTCATCATTATAGTGTCTCTGAAATTAAAAGTTAAGAGAGAAAAAAAAGAAAAGGGCCTGAATGGAAGCTGTAAACACAATGGTTGTGGCCTTTAGTCAAGAGGGAACACACAGCCCAAAGAGCCTGGGCATGAAACCAATACCAACTGAATTGGGCCACGGTTGAAATCTTTGTGAATGTCATTCTGGATGTAAGAGAGTGATGGGACATCGGAGGCTAAAGTGGACGCTGACTGATGAGTTGTTTATAATATGAGAGAATCTGAGAATCCCCGAGCAAACTCACTCTCGAAGTGAAGACTGGCAGATGGCTGGCTGGAGCTCCCCCACCCACCTCTCCACTTGTCCCTGCTTTTTTTATTTCAGTTGGTCAGGTGACAATATGTGTTTAGAAGAAATAAATAAAGCATGTCTCAAAAATGGTGCCTTAAACAGCTAGTGAGTTTCTTTAGGAAATGACCTTACAATGGTCTTACCTGAATGGCTGCAGCAGCAGGCTGTGGAACATTGACTATATTGACATGTAATGCGACAGGATATGGGACATGACTGGAGACCTAGACACAAAAAAAGGCAAAACAAAGGACGAATCATTCATGGTTACATATGCTTCAGGGCACTTGGCTTGCTTGAGGACTGAGAAAAAGAATACTTCACTGATCAAATTCACTAAACATTAAACACACACACACACACACACACACACACACACACACACACACACACTCCTCTAATTTGAAATTTTAGCCAGGCTTTTAATAATGGCTAAATAGCTAAAGCAACATAGTGAAAAAAAAATTTAAAGTGCTCATCATTGATCCTGACAGGAAGTATTCCTTAGAGAAAAATACATCTAAAATACATTCATAAATGGATGAAAGGAGTTTTGGTGGGAAAAACTGATGGCACTAGCTGTTTATAAATAAAAATATTTCTCTGGGGGTAATATGAGTTTTAGTAGATAGCACAGAACTGCTTAAGATAGTTTGTTCACCTGAGACCTTTCTGGAAAGTTTGTAGTCAAATATATGTCAAAACTCTTCACAAATATGCTTTGTGTAGAATTTGCATATGAGCTCTGTATTCTTGGGTAAATTTCACTGTTTCTTATTGTTAATATAAAGATAAAAGCTTCTTGCTTTTTTCCTCTTTATTCTTCTCTTTCCACCCACTAAGAATATTTCTTTCCCTAAGTATAAATATCAGGAAATGAAAAGGAGTCACACTAATCCAAGAAGGATAAAAGGAGACACCAGAGAATAGTGTCACAAAACTGCTCTTGAGCCCTGGCTGGGTAGAGCATTGTCCCATATGCCAACTTTGCTGGTTTGATCCCCAGTCAGGGCACATACAAGAATTAACCAATGACTGCATAAGTCAGTGGAAAACAAATCAATGTTTTCTCTCTCTCTCTCCCTTTCTTTCTCTAAAATCAATAAATAAAAATAAAAAATAAAAAAACCCCCACTGCTCCTGTCCTAGAGTATGAAGGTAAACACAGAATAAATAAATTAGGGCATTTCTGCTCCATCACTACCAGAATGGAACTTACAATTATCTGTTGAATTTCAATGTTGAACTATCTGCTCTTTAAATGTAATATTATGTTCACTTTCATTTTGGAAGACAAAAATATTTGACTACAACTGCATCCCTATTTCCCCAGTCTTCTTCAGCAGGACCTTGTTAAGTAAGGTTACATTCAAACACTAAACTCCAAATTAGATTAGAAGCAGCATCAGAATCTAACAACTTGGCTTGTAGCCTACACTGTCTCTAAGAGTTGTGTAACCGTGGACAAATCATTTAATGCCCTTGTTCCCAGAACCATATCAGGAAGAACTATACCTATGCCATGATCCCGTTTATGAAAGCTCTCTGAAAAGTATGCAACTACAGGGTATTATTACCTGGAGCTAAAATAACCACCTCTCTTGTTAAACAAAATTCTCAGGAATGGCTTACATTTTGTGCTTCAGAAATGTGGTAATAGGAATAGTCGTTGTTCACTGAGGGCTGTCCAGTTGGAGGGAGGTGAGCTGACGGCGGAGCATGAGCAAAGCCCATCAAATGACTGTTCTTCTGGAAACTTGCGGCCACCGCTGGCTGGCTAGCTTTGGAAGACTCCTGTAGATAACCTTCCTGCTCCACCTTCCGACGCATTGTAGAATTCCAGTGGTTCTTGATAGCATTATCAGTTCTGCACAGAAATATATCACATACAAATTTCACAAACAAAAACTTCAATTCAGATTAGAGTTAATTGACAGAAAACTGTCCCTAACAGAGACCTTTTCTTTTGGTCCACTAATAGTGTCATTTCTTTTTAATCATTTCAGTCTTTTCTGCCTCCTAAAATCATGCTTTCCCTATTACCTAATTTAAATTCCATACATTTCTCTTAATTACATAATATGGAGTTGTAGTTTTCTATAAATATTGAAATCCTTAAACCATTTTGTTTCCTTGATAACAGTATTTTCAATACAACCACCCTTCATATTTATTCTGACTGGTACAAGATTGTAATTCAACTCAAAGTTCCAGCTGTCCTAGAAAATTACTCCTTTGATTTGGCTTAGTGGGGGCTACACAGACATCACAACAGGTCCTCAGGAAAGTGGGTGAATGATAATGATGCTGCTGCCACCTCATTGTCCTCTCTTTATCGACAACAGCACCAGCCAGACATTTTGAGTGAAAAAAACCCAACTCCCATCTTTTGAAAAGCATTTCAAATTGTTCTGGTAACCAGACAGAGGTGAGAATGGAAAACAGGATCCAGATAGGAGAAATGCTAACTCCCAATGTATTTTCAAACTGCAAAGCATTTTTACTAAAGTGTTTCAATTCTTAGGAAAACAGTTTCTCAATTTTAAAAAACCGTTTTAAGCCTCCCTTTTACTATTTTGATGGGGGTGGGGAATGTATGCTAAAGAAAGAGGAAGTTCAATCGCCCCTTAAATTTTTAGAAGAATCAACAGCATATCCTCTCAGACCATATGGGAGAAAGGGCGTCCTTTTATCTACCTCCTGAATTCTCTAAGCTCACACTGAATCACAAGGGAGGAAATGCTTTGGAACATCACAAGAGAACACCAGATAAACCATCAGAGCCATGGCCTTCCTTGAAATGACCCTTCTTCCACTTTTGGATTATAAAGCTCAAGAACAAAAATATTTAAAATATTTTGTCTTAGATATTTTTATGTAAGCTTCCCCCAGCCCCCAAAAAAATCTGTTATAACTGTTTAAATAGGGAAAGGGGCAAAAATGAGCTTCCATACATTTCCCTCATAATGAGGTCATTTTTGTGCCTCTTTCATTAGAAAGAAAGGATAATACTGACATTATTTAAAAACCTGGAAGCAGTATGATAATTCTATAACTATACTATTTCTTTCTTTAAAAGAGGAAAATTTAGCCAAGTGGTATAATGAAATGCTGGTATCAGGAAAATGATAGCGAGGTCCTTCTGGTCACTTAACCAGCTATGTGAACTTAGAGCAGAGACAAACTGTCTAGCTCAGTTTCCTTCTGTATGTTTAGAGTTTTGTAGTTTACAATGTGCTTTGACATGTATTTTACTTGACACTAACACTTGCCCTGTGAAGAAAAAATGGGGAAAGTGAAGCTGAGGAATGTTCAAAGACTTGGCTCAAGGCTCACTGTTGGGTGGATTCTGGAAGTACTCAACCAGATAAACTCCAAGATCTCCTCCAGTTCTAAAAGCTATGGATCTGGTCTAATGAATGAAACACAATTGATGGAATGTAATTCACTCACCATACATTTAAAACAGACTGTTCAATACCCACTCCCTCATTCCTCCCAATCAATATATTTTTTGACATATTATTACCGTCCAGGCAGTAGTTTTGCGATTTCTGCCCATCTGTTCCCCAGCCTCTTGTGTGCCTGGTAAATAATTCTGTCTTCCTCTTCTGTCCAGGAGGTTTTCTTAACTTCTGGATTCAAGTGGTTATGCCACCTCTCCCTACATTGTTTTCCAATTCTCCCCTTTAAGTGCTTGGCAATAACAGACCAACGTTTCGGACCGTATTTCTGTACAAGCTCTATCACCTTCAGATAAACACACAAAAATAACCTATGTTTTAATGTTATGTAATGAGTCAGTGTAATCATTCTGTTACAAGATCTTTAGAAAATTTATAAAAACCTGCTTTCATTCATTTAAAATATGGAAAAAGAATTCTTTTGGTTCCTGTTTGCACACCTTACCTGTTTCTTCAAGTTGGGAAACATTCAAGGAAGTAGTTTGGGGAATATTCTTAATTATGATTCATACAACAATGAAGAAAGAACTTACTCTCTGATCTTCCTCTTTGGTCCAGGGACCCTTGATGAGCTCAGGGTTTAGTACTTTCTGCCATCGGTGCTGGCACTGCACATCTGTTCGATTCTATACAAATAAGATAAAGTATGCATTGTCATATAGAGATGATGTGATAAGTGCACACTAAGATTTTGCTAGAATATGAATCATACATAGATAACATACAGTGACAATGATCAAGAACATTCTAGGGCATGTTTGGAGAGCCCACCCATCCCTCATTACTTACAGCTAAAGAACATACAAAGAATATATCAAAGTTGCATCTAAAATTAGAAGTTCTTCCTCCTGAGGGCAACAGTCCTGCCATGTGAACAAAAGGACCATCATATTGCATGTATGGCTGTGAATTTAACTTAACCTTAACCTCAGTCTGTTGCATGTGAAAGTACCTAGGACTAAGACTAAACCTGTTAGGGATTCCATATTAAGGTCAAGCTTTTATGGAAACCCACTCTAGTGACTCCCATTCAAACTAAGAGATGTGCTTCAATTTAGGGCCACCAGTGTTAATATTCAGAACAAAAATGAATAAACATAGGCCCTACCTTATACTAGCTTGTAATTTTATAAGGAGGAAAAGACAAATACATAATGAATAGAAGGCAGAATTTGATTCACATGCAAGAAGAAATCATAGCAAAATGATATTGGGGTGGGAAAAGAAACCTCTTCAGGAGAAATGATGTTTCCTTAGGAGGAGTCCGGAAAAGCTCTTGTTATGGACTTTGAAGGACATGAAGTAACTATGCAAGACATTCTAGGAGGTGGCATCACCAGGGACAAAGGCCCAGAGGAGGGACAGCAGACATGAATTCAACTAAACCTGCTTACAGAGGGGAAGTCAGAAACAGAACTGGAGCTGTATGTTGGGGCCATATGGGAGGACCCTGTGTGCCAGGTCCAGGCAGTGCACTTAATTTGTGAAACTAGGTCACTGTTGTTGGTTTTGAAAAGATAAGGTACAGCTGCATTTTAGGAAGCTCCCTCTGCTAAAGGATAAAAAAGTGGAAAGCTATAAGTAGGGAAACCAGTTAGGAAGCCACTGTAATCATCCAGAGAAGAGGGAAGGGAGAATAGTGAGGAGAATTAACAGACCAATGACAAAGGAATTCCAGAACCCTTAGTCACTACTTAGGTGTAGGCAATGGGGAGGGAAACAAGTCTAGAAGGACTCAGAAATTTTCAACTGGGGTACCAAAACATGGTTATTTTTTTTAAAGGAAATTTAAAAGAAGCTGGCTTGGGGGAAATATCACAAGGTTAGTCATCTATCATATAACAAATCACCAGAGTGCTAATTTATAGTATCCTATAAATGAAAAGATATTTATGTGATCCAACAAATAAAAAGGTAAAATAAGAAGCAAACATTGGAAAATGTTGTATGTCCTTTAATAATAGATTCAGAAACCCCAATTATATGTATTATAATATACACTACAGGTTATGGATGAGGCATTTCTCCCCCAATTTCTCATATATAGCAAATAAGCAATGTCTTAACATATTCTCCCAAAATATCTTACTTAAATCTTTGGGAGATTTCCTTTTACATGAAGAAAAAATTACTAACTTACCGGGAGATAATTGGCTATAACTTTCCAGTCATCTGTTCCATTCTGTTCCACCAACTTCTTTAGTTTTTCATCCTAAGACAGTTAAAGGTAATCCAAGGACATCAGTCATTTACTGTACAACTGTATTCAAGTTAGAGTAAAGGGGAATCAATTCAATAATCTAATTCACAAAATATCTCTCAAAAATATCCAAATACAACAGATAATTAATGTGACATACTGATTTAGAGTATAGATTTATTGAGAGTCAGACAGACCAAAGACTGAACCTTGACTCAGCTATTGATTAGTTGTATAAGCTTGATTATATCATTTTGCTTTTCTGGGCCTTAGTATTGTCATCTATATAATAGGAGTGCTGATGTCAACAGGGTTATTTGGGGATCACATGAAGTAACTATGCAAAACATTTAGCATAATGCCTGGCTCACTGAATGTTTAATACATGGTAACTATTAAAAGTTTTACTCTGTGGGGGAAAACAAGACCTCCAATGTTAGATTCAAGATATTTAACTAGACATGGCAATAGATAGGATCTCAAGTAGGAAATAGCTCAACCACCATTCTAACATTTAGTTATTTTAACCTCTTACAAATAAAAAAAATGGAAGATCACTTTTCTTAATTAAACATAAAGGTATGTATGATGTAATAAAGTCATTTAGTTTTTGTATCAAGATATGCATAATTTAAACTTATTAGAATACAGAATTTAATAGAACAAACTTGTTAGAACACAAAAGACACCAAACATCAGGGGAAAATCTTTCAGTTCACTCTTTCTAAACATGATCTACCAAGTGAAAGAGAACCCTCACATTTTTGCACAGCTAACTTCACACACAATGTGGATCCCTGGTATGACACAGACATGGGAATTAGGAAACCAGTGTTAACAATAGAACTTCGCTATGTTGAAGAACCATCTAAGACTTAGATTCTAAATCAAAATCTCCATAGGTAAATTATGTATTTCCTATGGACCTTACTGGAAATCCTGCCTGCCTAACAAGAGGAGCTCTGGCTTATGTGAAGCAGGGTGGAACGAAACCGCAGAAGAGCCAATACCGTTAATTCTAACATAAAATCTTTAAAAAATCAATTGCAAAATTTTTGAAACTTCAAAGAAAAAGCAACTTTTCCTATACATTAATACTTTTTCTCCTTAAATATTTTTTCATTCCTACAAAGATCAAGCTTTCAATAAGCTATCAGAAAAAGGTAAGCAGATATATCTCCTTCCATTATTGATTGCTTTTAAAAAATCTTTATTGTTGAAAATATTGCAGATGTCCCTTTTCTCTTCTCCAGCTCCGTTGACCCCCCTCCACTCCGCTCCTAGCCCTTCCTCAGGCCTTCCCTGCACTATTGTTTGTCCATGGGCCATGCATAAATGCATATAATTATTTGGTTAATCTCTATCCGCCCACTCCTCCTGAAATAAGTCAATCTGTTACATGTGTCAATGTCTCTGGATCTGTTTTGTTCATTAATTTATTTTCTTCATTAGATTCCACATATAAGTGAGATCAAGTGATACTTGTCTTTCTCTGACTGGCTTATTATGCTTAGCATAATACTCTCCAGGTCCCTCCATGCTGTCTCAAAGGGTAAGAAATCCTTCTTTTTTATAGCTGCATAGTGTTCCATTGGGTAAATGTACCACAGTTTTTTTCAATCTATTCATCTACTGATGGGCATTTGAGCTATTTCCAAATCTTAGCTATTGTAAGTAACACTGCTATGAACATAGGGGTGTATATATTCTTTCTGCTATGAACACACGGGTGCATATATTCCTTCAGGCTTCTTAGGATATATTCCTAGCAGTGGGATCACTGGGTCAAATGGTTGTTTATTGATTGCTTTTTGAACAGATCTCCATGTATATGGCTCTGTGAAATACTATAGATTATATTTTAAGAATGTTAAATGAATCCATTAAAAGAAGTTCTATGAGAGTTCTTTTCACTCTTTTGTTTGTTTTGTTTTTGGAAATAGCAATTCATCTACTTGTTCAGGGAACATTTGTTAATAGTCCACTTTGTGTTAAGCAATTCTGGGTTCAAGGACCACAAAAATGAACAGATATGTAGCCCTGCCCTCAGTAGACTTGTCACCTCCTGTAAGAGGCATATATGTTACAGCAATAATAAGAACATGTGTCCAATGATTGCAGGATGAACCCCAGGAAAGTGAAGGATGGCTTCGCAGAAGAGGTGATATCTCCACAGGTAATAAAGAAGTAGTAAGAAGTTGTGGAGCAAAAGGATAAGAACAGGATAGGCAGCAGGAAGCATAGATGAAACAAATTAAGAGGAGAAGACATTCAAAGAACTACAAAAGGGTTGGATATTGAAGGTATAGTGCACATATGGGGAGTGGTGAGAGGCAAGTATGAGTATGCTGCACAGGCAGGCTAGGATACGATTTCAAAGAGCCTGACAATGAGTTTGAGCACCTGTAGCTTAGCTGAAATTTTGTTTTTCATAAACTAATACATTCTACATTCTATTCCCCATGTTTTAATGACATGATTAGTTACCTCTTCCCTGGTCCACCTAGTTTTCCCCAAGTGACGCTTTCCAGACTTGGGAAGCAGCCCATCATAGTCATGGTCACACATCTCAATGTCTTCATCATCCTCATCACTACTGTAAATGCTGCAGAAATAAAAAATGGGCAGATGTAGACTGAAACAAGAAGGTTTAAACTATTGGATTACAAAAATTCCACAAAAACTCAACAATCATTTCAAAGGTTAAGTGATAAAACTTTGAAAACTTGCACAAGATTGTTTTCTGCATTCTGTTGCTCTAGTATTGGAAACTGGTTCTGCTGTTATTGGTCTCCACAGATACAGCAAAGGACCTGGCACTTTCTTATTGCTCTGCATGTTTAAACCTGCTGTTACTGTTAGACCAGTGACAAGTTACACACTTGGCAGGCAACCTTCCAACCAATGAAAGTTTAAGTTTAAAACTTAATATTAAGGACAATAAAAGGCATGAGAGCCCATGTCCTTTACGTAATTATACACTCAAGATCTTTGGCATACATCACAATATTTAAATAATATTTCCCAAATACAATAATAACTCAGTCATGTTGTTCCAATGGGACTGGTGTTTTATTAAGAGAAAAACATTCAGGAAGTAATATACCCAACAATATAATTATAGTCATTCCTTCAAGATTAGAAGACTAAGAGAATCTAAGAGGAAAGGATTTTAAAAACCTGAGGAAGAATAAAACATTCAAGTGATCTACTTTGTAAATAACATTAATATCAAACACTTCAAAACTCTAGGCCAGTTGATCCAACTTGTGGCCACATTTACAATACTCAGTTTCCAGAGTGACTAAGTGTATAATTACACCACCTGATAGTCAGAATCTTACTTACTCTTTTTTTCAAAAATCTCTGACTGAATGGTATTTGAAATATCTTAAAATGTACCTAATTCAAAACTAAGGAATTCCCCCAGATGGGCTTAAAAAGAACCCACTACTGTTTTTAAAGGAGCCTTTTCTTTTACCTCATTGACCCAAACTATGAATTTTGATGACTTTTGAAGTTACTCTATACTTAATGTTTATTAATCATATTCTGAATAGATGAGAGTAATTTTGCAGTCACAGATTACTTTTACTTATAATTTTACTTACCAAATTAAGATATGAAGAAAAATTGTACTAACTGAAAAACTTCAATAAAATTTATTCTTGTAATACTGAGACTAGTAAAATAATGATATAAAGAAATATCATAATGTAACTTATTCTTTTTAAAAAGAAAGTTTATATTCATATTAGGTATGTCTTCCCAAACTATTTTACAAGTATACATTACCCACCCTTTATAAGGCAAACAAAAGGGCTTACCAAAAATCCTGAATTTGAGGTTCTTATCATTTAAAACTATTATTTGGGGCAACAATCTGAAGGTCCAGGATGCGTGGTGACAAGCAGGATGTGATCCAAAAGTAAAAGGCATCACACACACACACACACACACACACACACACACACAGGACATTAAACTGTACTTATAATCCATAACCATTTCTTTCATTTAGTGTCTATCCCTTCAAGCAAGAGCCTGAAGTTCTGCAGTATCAACCAGAGGTTCTTAACTTCTGATCAATAATTACAATAGTTTCCCTTGAATAAAAAATACAAGCATCATAAGTGAAACCATTATTAGAAGCCCAGAGCTGTAGGTCAGCATCTTTTGAAAGATTCACAGGGAACTCCTTGGAAATCCCCCAAATGAAGTGGCACCCTTGTGAAATATCCGGGATACCAAGAAAATCAGAGTAATCTGAAAGTGACCCATAGATTCAACTCAATTTAACTTTTTAGGTTGGGCGGGATCTGGAGATTACATTTTCAGAACTTCTCTCTTGAAACAGCTCAACTCCGAGAAACAAGCAACATATTCCGCCACCCATAGGGGGCAGCCAACATCAGTTGAGAGAGAACAGGCATCAAACAGGACTAGAATTCTGGAGGCAAAGGTGCCAGTCCTAGTTTTGCCTCCACCTAGCTGCCTGACTTGGACAAATCACTTCTCCTCTCTCAGGACCTCAGTTTCTTGCGTCTACCTAAAGGGCTTGGAATCTATTTCTAAGGTACTTTCCAGTGCTAATAAATAATGGTTGCATGACTTCCGTGTCTCTTAAAAATGAAGCACAGCCGCAGAGATGTGCTAAAGCAAACTTTTGGGGGAAACGTGGCGTGTGACTTCCGCGAGTCCTGAAGAGGCCGTGAGGGGAGCAGGGCGAGCCCAGGGCTGCTCACACGCTCCTGGGTCCATCAGCAGGCGAGGCACGGGGGCTCGCCTTTGAGATTTGCATGCGATTTCCTTGCTCAAGGTTGTCCGGGTCGCCTAAGTAGCATGATTAATTTCTACTAAGGGCCTGAAATAACTTTTCCTTCATCTGTACTGACAAGATCTCAGACCCAACAGTCAGAGAACTTTCAAAGGCTGATTTCAGGCTTGATGCACTTGACTCCCCCACCTGCTAGACCTGGTGTGGTTACAAGAGTACGACTATGAATATTACATTCTGTCAAGGAAACAAACCGTGCAAAGAAACGAAAAAGAAAAGAGGTGCTGGGGGTTGGGAAAGAGGGAGGGGAGCGGGAGGAAGTGTCTTGTGGCCGCTACTGTGATTCTAGAAATGGGGTTCAGACTCATTTCGCTGACCTGGTTAATAATCCCTGCCCAGTTGACGCCGGCCTTGCAAGAAACGGCTTCGGGCCCGCAGCCGGGTTTCTCTTCCCCCCCGGAGGCAGGTTCAAGGCTCCCGCCCCTCCAGGCCGCCTCCCCCCTCGGCTACCTGGGAGCCGCAGGGAACCAGAGAGGCCCCGCCCCGCCCCGCCCCGCCCGGCGGGGACGATCTCGAGCTCCCCGCGCGGAGCGTCCACCGAGCCTCCTCCCAGCACCCCTTCCCAGCGCTCCTCCACTTCCTCCCAGTTTCTGCTCGCAGAGAAAATAGGTGACCTTGGCTCTCTACTGTGAAGTCCCCAAAGCGAAGGCGAAACCACTTGAGCAGGAGCAGCACCCTCGCCCCGCTCGGCCAGGCTCAGGGCGAGGCGCAGGGAGCCGGCTCCCACCCCCGCCCCCCAACCCCCAAGTCGCCTCCCTTTTCCTCCGGCGCCCAGCCCCTGCTTCGGCGCTGCACCCCCCCGCCCGGCCAGGCAGGGTCCGAGGGTGCTGCTGCAGGGCCCACACCCACGCTCGGTGCAACTTCCCAGTGCAGCGCGGGGACCGGCAATAGCCGGTTCAAAAACAAATAAGCACCAGAAAATCAAACCAGCCGGGGGAAAAAGGGTTGGGTCCGCTTTGCCTTCAGGACCTTTTTGCCCGACCTCTTCGCTAGGGTCCGTCCGGCCACCCCTCCTCCGCCCCGGCGACCTCAGGCGGCGGGAGCACTGTGCGGGGAGGAGCCGGCGCCCTCGGCCGCATCCACGTGTGCGCGCCTCGCCAGGAGCCTCCAGCCCAGGGGAAGAGCCCTCGGGGATTGCGTCCCGGTTGCGCAGCAGCGGCCTGGGGTGCTGCCCGACTCGGTCCCTTTCCGTTGGGTGGCAACGCTGACGGCCGCCGAGCTGGCCCCCGAGCCCGGCCGCTCCTAGTGGGCTCCCGCGCGTCCAGTCCGGGAAGTCCAGGGGCGGGTGGAAGCCCGGGCGCCAGCAACTGACAGTTCGGACCCGTGTGTGCCTCCCTCTCTGTTCCCTGGTCCCCTCCGTCCGGCCAAAATGTAAAGGGACTTCACCCATCCACCCCAAGCGCGGTGACATGTGCGGCGCCGGCGCGTGTGCAATGTTTGCATTAGAAATAATAACTTTCCCAGAGCATAATGATCAGAACCTTCAAAGCCAGGGCTTAAAGCAATTTTGCAAATGTAGAGACTCATTCCCTCCCCGAAAATATTTTTTTTCCCCAGCCGCCTGTCAGCTGACGCTCTTCTTAGGCTCCATAAAGAATGAATGAAATTTAAATGAACTACCTGCAGCTACTACACAATCCGGCATTTTCCCTATATCTGCCATATGCTCGGCATTTCCAAGTCCAAACAAATCGTAATGCATCCAGCAATTATGCTGCGACTCCCTCGCCGACAGCCGCGGCATCAAGCCAGGGACCTAGCGGGCTCCCCGGGGCCAGTGGGCACCGCTCGTTCCCCCGCAGGAACGTGCTGCTCTTTCTCCCCCAGAGAGAAATGCAACTTGCAAAACGAGCCGCAGGGAGTGCTTCCCGATGTCCTGACACATTTCCTGCACGGACCTTTCCATTCATCAGTCTTTCCAGCGGCTTCTGCTGCGGAGGCAGGAGGTCCGAAGTACTCGCAGGATCTGACAGCCCCGCACCAGATCCGGGATCGAATTCCCACCTGCTCTCCTGGAGCCTCGCGCCCGCGCCCCCGGGCGCCCCCCACCCGGGGCCGCCCTTCCCGGGGGCCCCGTTACCCTGGTCCCGGGGTCCCCGGGCCCAGGGCTCGGCGGGGCGGGGGGTCTCCCCCGGGGAGCCCGCGGGAACCCGAAAGGGGGTTGAAGCCTCCCCGTGTGCCCGGGGCTTTGCTTTGGGTCCTTCCCCGGTGTGCCCAGGGGGTTTCCC